CCCACAGGATAGTATCAATATAAAAGTTTGGATAAGGAATATATAACTGCAGCATTTTTTCAAGTTTCAAAGGATTTTAGGCGTCATTGAGGGACAGAAAGTAAATGAAAACTCCGTCGACCTCACTGCCTCTATTTCCCTGATTTTTTGTGGGTATCCAGTTTCTTCATGTGGAATAACACGTGTTAACAGAAGCTGCATGAAGGGGCCCTCATCCCTGTCCCCGAGGAACCTGATTCAAGGGAGGCTTACAAGGAAATGCAAAGGCATTTAAATAAGGAGATGGAAGAATTTAAAATACGAGTGGCTCTGCGCATCAATCCTTAGCGTAGATACTTGTGCTTAGCCTCTGTAGCTTAATACCAGATGTTCTGCTCTTGCTCTTGTGAGTCATTTCTCGAAGATGTTACTTTGAGAGGTTTGCAAACTTTAAGCGTGAAAGAGGCGCCTACAGGAGTTTGATATAGACAGGGATGAATTCAGGCCAAACTGGGGCACTGACTTTTGTAGAGTTGGCACAAATTATGCGTCCACACTTAAAGGTGGCAGGATCTGAGGAAGTGCAAGTTTTTGGGAGAAATCTTGAATTTAAACACTACAGTTTTCCCCTCAGCTCCTCCTCTCCCCTCCCTCTCTGCTCCAGTAAGCCCCACCCACAAACAGACGCTCCTGCTCGCTCGTATCGTTTCAAGTAAATTCAGATATAATGCAGATACATACTTAAGATAATTACAAATGGGGCCCAGTCAACGTGAAAGTAAAAAGCACTGGTGCTACTGTAGATGCCAACAGACTACCAGCAAACACAATGTTTGCAGGACTTCTACAACGAGGATAAAGTGACATAGTCCAGGACCAGAGGTCAACAGTTTAGTGGTGCTACAACACGCAGCAGGTCCCATTTGACAAGAAACACTTCTGTTACAGACACTTGTCTTACTTTGTTAAAGCGGTTTATCTGTCCAGCAGAAAGGTTACAGGATCCGTAAGATCCCAAAGCGTCCCCCATTGTTTATGCTGATGTTGACCCGGCTTTTTAGTTCTTTACTTCGTTTTCTTGCTTGTGTTGGCAGTCGTGGCCAAAGGAGGATTCAGACAATTTTCCGAACTTTCTGGTTGGTTTCTACCGGCTGATATTGTAGCACGCTAACTTTGTTTGGGCTCGTGAACGTTATTGGAGGACGTGGAGCTCGCCGTACAACATGGGGGAGCAGCGTCCGCCTCACAAACAATCAGGTTGGGGAGGCGGAGAATGGCTTTGTTTACAACAGAACGAGTGAGCTGCTCAAAAATTTAAAATGTTGACTATACAGACAAAAGAGAACACAGCGACATCTCGATATCCCAAAATGTCATCAATAACTAACAGTTATTGACTGATATTAAAAGCTTTTTTGTAAATACACCACAAAAAAGATGCCTCTGTAACATATTCCTGTTTACCTCACCTTTAAATTAAAACTCTTTTTAAACCATACTTAGATTACTAACAGTTAAGTGTCTAAAAGAAGCAAATTTCCCATTAATTTTTTTAAACTTTAAAGAAAGTTTTCCAAACCCGAAGGTTTAGGACCCCGAATATAACCCTGTTATCTCCTCGCCCTCTCAGTACGTGCTCTTTCACAGCTTTTACAGGATTATCGCCGCTTAGTTAACAGGGTCCTAAACAGCTGACTGGCACTAGGAATGATGCTAGGAATTAGCCACCTGCTACGTTTGCCATCCGCAACCACACAGAGAGCGCTAACAGCACAGGAAGTGTCGTCCTGGGGGCAAATATGGCATCAAACAAGGTTGAGGTCGCTTACCATCCTCGCACTCATACACCATGCTCAGCAGGAAGTGTGGCTTCCTTGAGGTCGGAGGTCAGGGAGTGGGAATGGCATCGTATTACTACACCCAGATGTGTCAGAAGTCGGCCATGGCTCCAGTCTGGAGGTGCCCCAAATGCAGCGTGACTGCATGCTCGGTTCTGCAGAAACAGGAACTTCTATTTTGAGAAATGCCATTCCTTAACACAAACAGGAGTGAATTGATCTATTTTTCAAAAGCAGTATATTCTTTCAAGTCTCTGATAAACAGGCTCTCTATTTTTAAACATCACATTTCAACACTTCCAGAAACTGGAGAGTAAGTTTAACATTTTCATCACACTTTTCCTGTAAGCTTCAGGGCATGCGTCACAGAAGCAGCTTAAGTGTGAAGTATTCCTCAGAGGCATTACAGTAGGAGAAGGAGAGGAGTGTGTGTGATGAACGTGCAGGTCATGTGAGCTTTAGCATGTTTATATTCTCAGTAAAATATTTCCAGTGGCTCTCTGTGTGCTGTCCTCCCCTCTCTTTGCCTGCCTGCCCTGTCAAGAGTGATGAGTTTGGGAATGAGAAACAGGTGTGTGAAATGTGCGGATCGCTCCTTTATCTCTCTCGCTCGCTTCTCCCCCTTTTCCTGACCTTTCCTCAGCCAGTCATGCTGTGTTTTATGACAAAAGGGGTGAAGGGAGGAGGCTGAGTAGAGAAAACACAGAAGGAGAAAGGACATTACTTTGGACAAGCAACATAAACCTGCAAACTTTACCTCTGTATGCAGAAAAATAAAGTAGGATTATGATGGAAACACTGAAATAAAACTTTAGCTAACCTCACTGATAAACAAGAGACACTCTGGTTTAATTTGAGTTGAGCATTATCATCTGATAGTCACAACATCAGAGGGTTTTATATCCAAAGCTGTTCAGATCATGTGTGAAACATATTGATTGGGACGCTACTGAAGCCAAAAGTCCAATAAGATAATGTGTGAAGTGCACTGTTGAGCCTCATTCATCAACAACAGCAGATCAATACTGATTAAAACACAGTCACTCAATCAAATGCTGGGCTGTAGTATGTTTACCAAACACTGTGAATGAAACTATGAGGGTGGCATGGGACCTTAGTCCAACTGTAATCATCCAGTCTGAGAGTTTGAAGTATTTTTTCACTTTAAGATACAAGCAAATAATTTACGCTCAATATATATTGCTAATTAGGGCTGGGCGATAAAATGATAATGATATGTATCGGAAATTAATTTATGCTCAATATATGTTATAAAAAAAGAATTCAAATCAAAGTAATAATAATTAAAAAACGATATGGCTAAGTAGGGCTGGGCGATAAAATGATAATGATATGTATCGGAAATTAATTTATGCTCAATATTTGTTAAAAAGAGTTCAAATTAAAGTAATAATATTAAAAAATGATATAGCGAATTAGGGCTGGGTGATAAAACAATATTATATATATATATATATATATATATATATATATATATATATATATTTATATATATCGAAAATTAATTTTCCTCAATATCAATATAAAACATGGTCAATATAATATCAATGTAAACCATGCCAAGTTTTGGTAGACTATACAAATAGCCAATGAAAAGGGGAGTTGCTCCAGGTTCGCTTCGCACTGAACCAATCATGTGCTGAATTAGATACAGGTAGCAAACAACTGCGTCGAAGCAGGCTGCAGCTGCACGCAACCATAGCACTTTAACACGTGAAGCCGACAGCACTGTTGGTCAGAAAAATAGAAAATGAGTGCTACCCCCAGCAGAAATGCAGATGAAAGCTCAGCAGATGACGACATCGTCGACAACACTGGCATGAAAACGACGGTAATGTGGAGGTATTTCACAGATGCAGTAGCTTATTGTATTGCAAAAGACATTCTACCAATAAGCATTGTTAAATTTCTTTTTTTATATCGTGATATCAATATTGACTATTGACTATTGACTATCGCCCAGCCCTATAGCTAATCCACCTTAGCCACGCGTTTGTTTTGGTTCTTTTAGCACTTGGCTATTTCATCAATAGTGAGAATAACGTGAGAATTGTTAAAGGTTTAAAGCTAAATCATTACAGTAATGTGAGTAAATGTATTAAACACAAGGTTAAAGAAGATTGTGTGGTTTTACCATAGACTGTATATAGAATGGATGCCGTCTGCCTCCTCGCTGGGTGAAGCCACTCTAAGAACAGCACCCTCTGTTGACGGGCTGCAGTATAGGTCATAAATCCTCCGCCAGCAAAGCTAATGGAGCTGTGGACAAACTTTAAACATTTATTATACAGAATATCAATTTCCTCCCCCTGCTTGTGATGTTGACATGTAGTTACTGTAAGACTGGTTTGTGTTCAAGTCCTCTTTTTTAAGTACAGCAACATTTTTAAAAGTTATTAGAGGGTTCATGTTTTCTATAGTTAACACTTGTTACAGTCTGTGAGCTTACGAAGATTGCATAGCTCCCCAGGGGATAAGCTGTTTGAGCCGCGCGTCATCACTGCAACTCTCGGCGACTCTCCCGCCGAATGCGTACAACGCTACTGCGCAATGTTTATTTCAGGAAGTGGAGAAAAAACGCGGAAATAGGCCTACCGAGAGCTTTTTGGCTTCAAATCCTTATACTGGCGGAAGGCGATACTAAGTTGTCTGTAGGATATACAGTGTATGGTGGTTACAAACAAACCTTTTGAGAAAATATGAGGTGGCCGTCCCTTACTCGCGCTAAGATTCAAAACGTCGTGGTTTCCTTTCAAACCCGGAAAAGATTTGTTTGCTGTAAGGCTCGTTAGTTCAGACTGAAAAGAAAACCACTGCCTAACCTTTCTTTCATGTCAGGATCGGAGGTTTAACCTTGTCTCTAAAGGTGTCACGTAGTTTCATTAAACTTCGACTTCTGACACTAAAACAATGTTTGCGCAGCTAAAACACTTTTTGTGATGTTATATTTAACTTTACAGTCTCCCTATTAACCCACAGACCCCCGTGGATCTGCTGCTCAGCTCCCTACAGGCTGCACAGGAGTCAGTTTACACTGCTTCACATACCTGCCCACCCCTCCTCCATGCCCTCCTCCTCCTCCTCCTCCTCCTCCTTCTGCTCCTCCTGCTGCTGGGAGGTCGGGACTCCCTCTTTATCGCTGCTGCTGCCATGCAGCGGTCCGTCAGTGTGCCAGCAGTCCGCGCAGAGCGCAGAGCGCAGCGCCACGCTGAAGGAGGAGACCGACTGTCAGGCTGAGGAGCTCCAAACCTAAAAACGGGATTTGAAAAGACAACGAGAGAGGAGAGACTGAGCGAACCAGGTGAGCAAAGAGCTGAATGTTTCCTCTGATATTTATTTTAACAAGTTTTCCTTATCAGCCTGTGTGTATATGAAGTAATTCATTCGCTCGGTGATCTGTCGTGGTCATTTTCTGACTTTAGCCTCTGTTTGTGAGTATGTGGCAGCAGATTTTCGCAACAGCTGTCCACGAGTGAAAAGATCAGCATGGTTTTATCACACATTCACTAAACCTTGTGTGAATTGCACAGCTGAACATACAGAAGTGGGCAAACATACTGGTAAACACTGGGTAGCCTATCTGTGGCACCCAGTGGTGACTTTTAAAACTAGAATATGCTACTCAAGTAAATAAATTAACATTAAATCCCAAGCTGTGAGTCTCAGGGAATGGTGCATGTATCTGCAGGTCTGAGTTTGTCTTTGACAGTCCTGTCTGAGATCTTTACGGTGTGTTTATGACCGGTGTCCTATAAGGAAAATTCTCTGGCAGCAGATCTATGTGGATGTCAGGCTAATCTATAAACAAGAGAGCAGATTTATGGAACCATAACAGTTTTCTTTTTGTGCGGCACTTAATCATCCCTCATGTAAACCTGCTGTATGTGGATCCTGCTCATAGTCCAGTCAATATTAGCAGTAGGGTATAGAGAGGATAAGAGGGGGCAGTGATTGACTGCTGAGCTCTGATTAAAGCAGATACCTTTGACCCAGGGCAGCAGGTTTATCCCCTCTTACTTCTGCTTTCTGCTAAATGTTTTCATCTGGAGGAAATCAGTGGAACGGCACAAATGAGGTCCTGGCTATTCTGAACGTCTAATCAAGGAAGAAAGTTATATAATCTTAAACCTGATGAAGCTTTTTTTCCCTAACAGCTAGTCTTGATTGTAATCAGCTATGCTAATAAAGAAAACGATGCAGCCTCAGACCGTGCTACCTGAGAGCTTTCCAGAGAACAAAAGTAAGTTTAGGACCTGAGGGGTCATTATGCAACACACCCACTCGAAAACCGAAAAGACTGTCTCCTCCGAGGAGACAATCACATCCCCTCAGGGTCAGCTCCACCTTGACCCACCTCTACCCCCTCCCACCCGCTCCTCTTTTTCTCGGCTGATATGCTTCATGCAATCTGAGTTGGTGTGATCAGCGTGGGGTCAGGAGCATAAACAAGTCCGCGGCCAGACTAAACAGACCACACATGTCCTGTAAACACACGCACCCTGCGATTCAAAGGTGAGCACGTGTTGGTTTGGCCTGTGCGCCGCAGCGGGAGGTTTAATTCATGCTTTCTGATGCAGAGCATGAACAGGCTTAACTGTTACTTTCCAGAGGGAGAGGTGGTCTTTTTTTTTGTTCCCTGCATGAGACACATCAGTAGTTTTTTCAGTGCTATGAGGAGTTTAACCTGGTTGGGTTAACCCTTAGAACTCCCAGCTATATTTTGCTCTTTTTGCAACTCGATCCTTTCAAGCACAGCAAACATATACACAGCTGTCAGTTTATGAGTGCAAAAAATATATGAAATGAATGTGACAGTAGATTCAGAACCATCAAAGTCAACCCAAAAACAAAAACGGAAATTGATCCCAACAGTACTTTGCTCAAAAACACATAAATCTACAGTGACCAAGCCTTTTCTTATCTGCACATCATCCTGTTAAGTCTTGGCTATTAGGAGAAGAAATATTGGGATTGGAACAAACACACAACAGAAACTATTTACATATTTACACTAATTCTTCCAGGCGTTTTTTGCTATTTACAGTTGTTTATGCTGCTCCTTGAAGCACTTCCTGTCTGGGATGAGACGGAGGGTCACATCATACTGCTCATAATCTCTTCTTTGCTTGTTTCCAAGCATTGAGGACCAATATTTCTTATTTTACAGACAAGCAGGGAACTTTCTTGCCTCTTGTTGACACTACCATCAAGGGAACAATAGAAGAAGAATATGAGACCATGTAATTGGTCGAAAGTTTGATAGAAAAAGACGTTATCAAAACAGTTTTTCAAACCCGGAAGACGAGCGGCATTTAGTAATAGTGATAGAGATGTCTCTGATTAAACACCTGTTTTTGTGGCTGGATTGTAAACCTTGTGGCAGGTGTAGAAATTTCTGGAAACCCTCGATAGATTGCCAAAAGGGTAAACTTTTGAACAGTTTTCATCCCATAGAGATACATGGTATGGTTCCCGTCCGAGATACTGCAAACAATATTAATGGAGTCACGTGGGATCGACGGTGATCCAGCAGAGTTGTAAGTGTTAAAGAAAATCAAATGTGAGCCTGTAGTTTTCCTCGTAGCTCCAGGTGTTGGATGATTACAGGTCACACGTTGCGAAAGTTGGATGTTTTTGGAGGTTGGCGTACAGGCCAATCTTCTCTCCACCTTTTCTTGCTCCATGTTTTGTTTGGTTTCGAAGTTTAAGGCCGCAAATGTGACCCAGCTTGCATCCCTCCCTGCCTTAGAGTGAAAATGAGTCACGGCTCATAAACACCTCCAGCTGACATCAATCCTCCATGATGCGCACTTTTCAAAACGCAGGATACAAACATCTCTCCGACTGAATACCAACCTGCAAAATTACAGTTTGTAGCGGTCGTAAACAGCCCCCTCTGTTTTTCCCCCTCCTTCATGTGTGTGCGGTGTGCTAATTTTGCAGCTGTATTTTGGCTGCATCTGTGTTTGATGCCGATCCCAACAGAGCAGACGAGATAACTTCCTCTTGCTGCAGAGCAGAGCTAGATCTAGAGCGCCTGAGGGGCAGCAAGCACAGAGCCGCTCGCTCTAGTCTCCGTCCCGGGTGTTGACAGGAGGCCTGACATCATTAGCATGACTAAATGAAATGTAATTTACGTCTTTGCCTTTTCGCTTAGCTCCAAGCACCAGCAGTGATGGAGATGATGGCGGTAGAAGCCTGCAGAACCATGCTGACTGTATGACTTTTCCCCACACTGTCATACTGTTGACCCCTGTTGAATTTATTATGGGATAAAACAGCGAAGCAGTATTCCTCTTTCTCTTTCATTTCTCAATTTTCTCCCTCTCTTTCTATTACTCAACTGTGTTTTTTTTAAAGCTGTACAAGTGTATAATCTGATCGTTCTGAGCCACATCAGTGCTGACTGCAGAGAACGAGCGGAAGCCGCAGGATATTTCATGGGTTTAGTTCACAATGGGCTGCTCATGTGTTTCTTATCACTTAAAGTTCAGGCGTACCGCAGCAACATTCAGGGCATGGTTTTGCTTTCCTGTCCCAGAGCCCAGCCTTGAAAACATCACATTTTAGGAGGGATGTCAAACATTTGTTCTGTTTAATCCAAGTTTTGTTGCATGGTCGCATGAAAAGACCCCCGAGTTATGGCGGGAAGCTCGAGTTTCTAATTAGAGGGGAAAATGTAGCCTGCTAATGACATCATCTTCCCTCTGGCAGTGTGTTAAAAAAGCCTGTGTGTGTGTTTGTGTGTGTGACTGAGCGGCAGCTGGTTTCAGACATTTGACGTTCACGACGGTGTGAGACTTCAAACACTCGCACACAAACTGTTAAGACTTATAATTTGGATTTATGGCTCCTCGTCAGTCGCCTTGATTGGGCCATTGTGCCGCCGCTCTGTGGGAACTTCCGGGTTCAGGAAGAGCGGTATGAAAAAGAGGAAGATGTTGCCGCTTCTCGGTTGGCAAAACATCACACAAACATAAGCTGTAACTGTGTGAGAGAGTTAATACTCTCTCTTACAAAGGATTAAACCGCCCACCATCTGAGTCATTCCCAAAAATGCAGGTATCGGGAATACTCCGGAAACAGCCTAAAACGCTGTATCGACCCATGTGCAATTCAGAGTAACCAACTCAATACCGGTGCATTAGCTCCCTCGAAATATCGAGCTGTTTCTCAGCACTGGAATGTTACACAAGGTTAGATAGGACCATGTCCAGCAACTGCTGCGTCAAAGAAACGGATTATTATTATAAATCAAAAATGAGATTATAAAACTCGTCAAAAACAGGAAAAAGTCGTCACACTCTCAGGCTGACAAACGACACCAGGAGAGCTCTGGATAAGAACAGTTAGCTCAACTTGACTGCTTGGCTTGTTTTGGTAGAGTCACAGAGTCGTGCGTAGTTAATTTTGAGAGTTTTTCAGGTCTGGTTGAGTGTTTTTTACACACTTCTAACTCAGTAAGTCCATGCAACACATACTTAAAACTTCCGTACAAAACCCAGACAAGGCCAGACAAGGCCGGACAGCCCCCAAAACAGAGGACATGTCCAGGTAAAAGAGGACTTATGGTCACCCTATTATGTATCAAAGCAGGCGTAACTGTGAAGTTGGCTGGTTCAAGAAACTCCTGAAATTTGCATTATGTGCAGAATAATGTTTGTGTGTCTTTTTTAAGACGATTAATGCCATCATGCTCATTTAAGTATGTAAAAGTTAGAGTTAAGCATGCTGGACTTATCAACAGTTACATAAGCAACATCTCATTTAAGTTCAAATAGGGGTGAAAACAGGCATTAAAGGGATAGTTCTGTTTTTTCTGCGGCACTTAAACAGGACTCATCGGCTGTCAGAAAACACGATCATTTTTGCACTATTCCCAAAGTAAAGCACTTATAAGAAGGGCTGGGCGATAAACCGAAAATTTACAGATACCGAAACTTACGACAATAACCGACGTGCCAATATATTTGGTGTCAAAAAAATAAATAAAAGTTTGTGTTGAATGTGTGTAGGTAGGCTATGGTCTCATGTCCCTTTAAGACGCTGTCCTACGTCGGAGACATGCCTCCACCCCATTCAGTCTATAACAAAGAGAGAAAGACAGGTGAGGAGATGGAGGACAGTTCAAAAGTTGTAGCGGCTGAAGTACATGAAGTTAATGTGGGAGGGGGTGAGCAGCTGCTGGAGTAGTTATCGTCCATTTATTGTTATATCGTGATATTGATTTGAGGCCATATCGCCCAGCCCTATTGGACTTTAAAACGGTATAGTCGACCCTGTCTACAGGAGCCGAGATCTTCTGGTCAGCTGGGTCGTGTTATCGACAAGTACTTCAAATATTCCTACTTCAATCCATCAAGAAAAACACAGAGTACCCTTTTGGTACACATTTGTTCTCTCTGCAGCTCATCTGAAGCATGTCTCTTATAAACTGATGATCAAGTAGACGTATCATAACAGAGAAAGGTCACCCTTTTAAAGTAATTCATGAATTAATATTTTATTGCACTGGTGTTGGTGTCTGCTAACACCCGACCCTCAGTATCAGAATCAGTATTTCGTGGATAAAGATGGTTCAAGTTCATCTCCAGTTCAAAGCTAATATTTCTTCTGTTTTGTAAACAACTGTGAGAGAGAACAATCAAATCCACTGAGGCTGTGTTTTTTTCCCAAAATAGACGAGCCTACTGATGCAGCTTTTGGAGCCTTTATTGGCTGGCTTATCTGTTGACAGATTTATGACGCTTCACTCTGGAGAAACGTCCCCACACTTCAGCTCGCCTGCAGAAATCTAAATCGGCACCAAATGTTTGCATTGAAATGATCGGTAGCGTAATCAGCCGTGTCGTTCTCTGAGGCCTGAAGTTAGTCTTTGCTCTTACATCACCGCTGATCTCAACGGGCTCATAACTCAATCCATAATTCATGGTGGGCGATGAAATCCTGAAACATGAGCTGACAGATCTCCATCTCCTGTCAGTCCCCCGTGTGTGTGTGTGTGTGTGTGTGTGTGTGTGTGTGTGTGTGTGTGACAGCTGTGAGAGCCGCTGTTCTCTCCTCCGCTCTCACATCCCCGTAATTGTTCACAGTCCGGCCGAGCGCCTCTGTAGCTCTGCCACATCCCATCACTTCAAACGGACGCTAACGCTGTGTCCGTCGAGCCGTGATAAAGATGACACAAGCCTGGACAATCCCTGAGACACAAGAGGAGAGACTGAAGATAGAGCTCCACAAACTCTAGGGCTCCTCCAGATGTTTTCTGATTCTGACAGGAGTGAAGGGGGAGGCAGGGGGAAAAACGGAGGGGTGTCTGTCCACGATACTCGGGGGGCTGTTTGCGAGGAAGCAGGTCGGTCGATCAGTAATGAAAGAGGACAGCTGGCAGGTTCAGAGGAGGTTAACAGCTAAGTGTACATGGCAGCGAGGAAAAACAAGAGCCCAGTCCAGGGTCTTCGTGTGAGAGGCTGACTCTTTCTCTTGTACATTTTGAAGAAGTGACTCTTGTTTTAGGAGGAAAGGCCCTGAAAACTTTCTCTGAGAAGAAACTCGCTATCATATGCGCGGATACTTTGCCGGTTCATGTGAGGTTTTCTTATTTCCGTGTTTGTCTTTTCTTCTCTTGCTGCTGTGCTGAAGTGCACATGACTCACTTGGCAAAAGTCTGTCTGGATGATTTAACAACATTTGAATCAATTTGTAGTGACATTTGGGAGGTTTTGGCTCTCTTTTCATCACTTTAGTCACATTTGATGGAGCTACTGGGAAGCAGATTTGCCAGATTGTTGATGAACAGTTGTCAGAAAGCAGGTTTTTAAAGACTGAAACTAACAGACGAAAATTCCCATTTTTAATACAAGAATCTCCTGATCCATCCTTTAGTTGCACAACAATGAATCATGCAAAAGCTGCCTTTGTGAGAGGCGTTCAAGAGCGTTTATGTAGTTCGAGGTTCCACGAAAGAGACCTAATCAAACAGTGTTAAGCTGTTCAGACAGCAAATCAATGCTGGCGCATTTAAAGCGCTGTAGAGCCCGTGGTGACACAGTTGGGGGTTGCTGGATGGGATTTGGCACCACAGTCTCAGTGTTTGGGGATACAGCACAGCTGGAGCAGCTTTAAGGCCCAACTAACCCCAAACAGGGCTGTCACAAGTCCTCACAAGTATGTGTCAACCTTTTTACTGCTAACATCAGCAACACGTGTTTACAATAACTCCGCAAATGTTGTGTGAATGTCTTTTTGGCAACCTGGTGTGTGTTTGTGAAGAGGAGGAGGGGGCGCACAGATGGCACTTTAAAGTCCCACTCCAGTGGTTTTTTACTTTTATTACTTAAAGTGTTATCAGTGGTCTTTAAATTGTGATTATGAAGTTTTTAGCCAAAATCACATCAAAAAAATCCCCCAAAATTAATGTTTGACAGAATTGCCTCTACTGTAGAGACTCGTTAATTAAAACGCATTATTTAAAGTCCCAGTCCGAACGCTTTGTTATTACTTAAAGTGTCATCAGGGGTCTTCAAATTGTGATTATGAAGGGTTTTTTTTGCCAAAATTACGTTACCCGTGACATTTTCAAGGTCTTTTCCTCTGCAGAGCTCCAGTAGCCCATTAGCAATCCACCTCTGAGTCGTGGACGGTGCTCTGCACACTCGTCTTCACGTTAGCTTGTAGCCTAACATTGCCAGTGTAGTAGAAGTAGCAGGTAACATAGGAGCTATTCAGCTCTCGGACACTAATCTCTTAAGGGACATGATGAAAGCTAATTTCATAATTAGCTTTTGCGAGCATTGCAATACGCTACCGCACACACTTGTTCCTTTACTTTTCTGAGTGTGGCCTGCATAGCAGGGCTCTGGGGGCGGAGCTTGGATTTGTGATGTAGGAAATCTCACTGTATTTGATCCTGCCGTTTGGGTCTGACAGAGATTCACAGTGATTTAAATGCAGAAATACACTGAAATGCAATTTCGCACTTACTTCTCTCATGGTATGTCCTGTAGTGTCAGAAAAATGCTAGATGAACATGTAGACAACAAGAAAAACATGATTTTCATCAGAGCGGGTCTTGGCAGACTGATGGAGTTTTTACTTTATTTGATATTTCTCCACTCTGAGATTAAGTCCGATGTGAAGTCGTCCTCCTTGGCTTTTAGTGTACGTCAGTCAGCTCTGATGCAGGTGTACAGGTGTATGTTTGAACGCCTCTAACCCTGTTTTGACATTTCACCTGCTTTTTTGCAGGTCTTCCAGCCTCCATCCTCTGACGTGTCTTTTATCACTCTGTTGGAGCTGACATATGTCAGACAGACTGTAAAAATGTGCCAACTTGTTGAAATAAAACATCTGGCAGCGGGCCAGACCTGCTGTCTTTCAGAGCGGTCTCGCCAGCTGAGAGTTTAATGAGGGTCCACAGTGTGGGAACAGGCCTTCATGATTTAAGACACCAGGAGATTGAGGGATGGGCTCAGATTTGTGTCTGTACAGCCTCAGGATGGGTTCTTTTTATGAGGGCGGATCTGTGTTACCCTGCGCTGTAAAGTGAAGACTTGGTCCATGGCTGTGCTGCAAACACACAGTAGGTCACTGCGGTTTGTTCTGCTGGTCACATAAGTCAGGCTGGCATGTGCAGAAGCAGCAGTGGTCTTAAATTACAAAGCAATCTGCAGCTGATTATCATTGAATGTATTCCTAAAACAATAAAACTTCTGAGCAGACATTGTATACTTCTACTTTGCTGAATTCATAGCGAGTGTTCGGCCTGATAATTCATTTCCTGTTCAGCTTGAATGTAAAGCTCCACGTATACGTCATTCCTGTCTAGGTGCATGAGCTCACACGTCGATATTTCACTCATCGACGGTGAGGTCCACAATCAGGCTTCACATTCCTGAGTTACACTGTGAGTTATTAAGTTTCCTAGCAGAGAGCACCTGGGGTAGAGATCGTCTCAGTGTCTTTACATTTTTATCTCCAAGCTAAAATTGTTATTCCTCTCAGACTGATGGTTTTCCTCTTACTCTTTTAAACCAGGAGGATACTTTCTGGGTCAGATAATAGGCAGATTTTTCCATTTCAGTTCAGGTTCACTTTTGTTTTTGCTTGAAAAACTTCAGGTGGAAAGTAAACAGTGACTCGTGAAATTTTACATAACAAAGCTGTTTAATTATCAACGGTAATGACACGCTTACTGGATCTGAAGCTGTAAAAGAAACTCAACTCACTTGTTCTGCTGATAAGGACAGGAATAAAAGTGAACATGTTATCTTAGCATACCTTATCTGGAGCCCGAAATGGGAGTTACACTGCTGATAAGGAGCTGTGTCTATTTTTACGGTCAGAACAGGTTATCTGGACTTTTCATACTCCATTTAAGCAACTGCTAATAATTAATTCAAGTTAATGGAATAAAGTCAGAAAAAAAAATATATTTTCTCCATAAATTTACCTGCGGAGTTTGAAATCAAGTATTAAAAATCAGCCAAATTACCTTCTTTTCGATTTATTTGCATGGTTATAAGAGAGTTGACAATTAAGTTTATAAGCTAGCTAATCATTTTTGGGATATGAGACACTTTGAATTCGCACTTGAATACTAAAGTCATTATCTTGTGTTATGGTCAAGCAGCACCTTCAAGCTTTTTTAAGGGATATACAAGTAGATTTTTGGTAAATAAGTCAAGCTTATTTGTTTTTTATGATTTTGATAATAGTGCTTGTTTTACGTTTTCTTTAAAAAAAAAAAAAAAAAAAAGAGTTTCAGCAGAAAGACAAGAGTTCCACCTCGTTTAATTAACCGGCTAACAGGTTAGCAAACTAATTGGCCGATAATTTTCCAGCTAACATAATTTGCCAAACTTTTTCAGTTAACTGGGTCTTTAATATAAAAAGGTTTTGGCCCTTGAGAGTAATATAAATGTATATGGGCCCTAAAATAGAACCGTGAGGGACACCATAACAGTGCTTGCCCTTTTTTTGGTCAACAGAAGTTTTACGTTTTCTTTAAATGACTGAGTTTCAGCAGAAAAACAAGAGTTCCACCTCGTTTAATTAACCGGCTAACAGGCTAGCAAACTTATTGGCCGATAAGTTTCCAGCTAACATAATTTGACCCAAACTTTTTCAGTTAACTGGGTCTTTTGGCCCTTGAGAGTAATACAGTTATATAGGTCCCAAAATGGAACCCTGAGGGACACCTTTAGTGAAAATCAGATTTATAACTCAACTCAACTTTATTTATCGAGCACTTTAAATACAACCAAAGCTGACACTAAGTGCTGTACATAATAACATAAATACATAGTCAATTGTTGTTTTAAAATATAACAAAAAGCAATAAAAAAACAATTAATCAAATGCCGTCTCATGCTGGGTCAAAAGCCAAGTAATAAAAGTGGTTTTTTAGACGGGTTTATAACAACAGACACACTAAGTTTGATGATCTGTGGCATAATTTCTTAACCAAACACAGCCTTGATTCTAAAACCAGCAGTATTGAGTTTGATTCGCAGCAGTTCATGGTCCATTGAGTCAAACGCCTTGAGAGAAATCCACAAATAGGGCATCAGAGTGCTGTTTTCAGTCCAAGGCACAGATGAGCTGATTTTGTAACATCCTTGGTAGCAGCAATGTCACTAGATCAAAAACAAAGTGATCGAGTCTTTAAAATGTTTTATTCTTTTAAAAACGGCTTTAAATGTAAATTTCATTAGCTCTCAGAGATTTTGGCTTGTTTGGAAATCAGGCGGTATTTTAAAATTTGAGGGATTTTCACTTTGAAATGAAGGGAGAACAAATGTAGCTTTACAAAGTTTAGGAAGAGAGTAGATACGAGACTTACTGTTTGTCATAGACATAAGTATTGGGAGCTGTTATAACATAAGACATGGATCCAGGTCGTCTAGACCAGTGGTTACTTCTAAGATACTGGCTACATACAGTACATATATAATGTCTTTAACTCCCTACATTGCTATCTGTATCTAATATTTTCATGTACTTGAACAAAGTCTGCACCGATTATATCCCTGTGTATTATCACTATCATCTCAGAGTCTCCTGTCATCTTTAGTTTGCAGCTCGACTGCTCAGCTGTCTCTGCAGTGATTTGCCTTGAATGACAAAAGAGCTGCAGCAGTGAGTTAAGAGCCCATCTTGTCCATTTTACAGTCTGGGGGGAGGTCTATTCAGGTCGGGGTCCCTTAAGTCGTCCCAGGTTGCCTGCTGCTGCTCTACATGAATGTGGAGAAAGCCGGTAGGTAGCCTCCAACCGTAGATCAAGCAGCTAAAGGCTCTCAAGGCCTCACAATGGTTGATAGGATTTACTACTCGGCTACAAGGCTTTGTCTTTGAAGGGACAGTAGCTTATGTGTCCCGTGCCTCCATCACTTAGATTTTATTATCACCATGCTGTTATTTGTCCCTTTCCCTCCCTGACTAATGAGGCGAAGCAACCAGGTCATGACGTGTCTGTGGACCTGGAGCGGGGGCCATTGTTGTGGTCCATTAATAATGCAAAGAAAGACCGGTACGTTTCTTTGTTTGAATAATAGAGGACCCTGCCTTCTTCTTTTCTGCCCTGCCCCTTTACAGACTTCTTGAGGTGTTTGTCTGTGCCGTTGGTTAATGACTGAACCAAACAAAGTCATGAATCGTGGCTCATTAGCGACCTTGCAGACGCTTTTATCCACACTGTAGAGAATCAATGTTCACAGCTGCTTCACTATGACATAAAGAAACGTTTGAAAGAGCTTCGATTCAGGCATGTCTGTCTATTAGTGATCATCATTAGTCTGTGTCGACCTTAAGAGTGGTGCCAGATGTGAGGATAAAGAAAGTGAGAAATACTAAACAACAGAGATGGACAGTTGGGTCCTTGTAGGCAGCAGATGCCCCTCATCTGTTCGGAGATTGATTTGACAGGTAAGCGTGCTGAGTCCATTCTCCGAGAGCTTCAAAGGTGGTCCTTGTGAATTTATTAACCCCTTATCTTCTGTTTACCTCGCTGAATGCATAACTCACATTCAGACTTCCCTTTTGACCCTCTGATGCGAGGCCAGCTGCTTTTTCTTCGGATACGCCCTGCAAACCCAGATGAAATCTCTCTTCTGCTGTGGGCTCTCGTGAAGCAAACAAACACTTCCTGGATTTTAAGGTCTTTAGCAGCTATCTGGGGCACCGCTTTCCCATCAGAGAAACAAGCCGAGCTGTGTTGCTTTACTGTGGAATCGAAAACGCAACCTAAACATGACCTTTGTGTTCTTATCGTAGCCCGAATAATCCCATTGTCTAAAGGGAAACCAGTCCAGATTACGGTTCTGTTACTGTGACAGGTCCATGTCAGGGCTGTCTGAGCGTCTTGATGTAGCATGACACAAAACATCTGGTTCCTCTTTAGCTGCATGGGGGCGCCTGCTTAAGCCCCCCCTGCAGGCTGGGCCATCCGCTTCACGGAGAGGACGCGAGGGAGGAAAGGAAGGGAGAGCAGACAGAGAGGGGAGTTTAATTAAAGAATAGAGTTGGAGTTTGTAAGAGACACTGACATGCTGAATTAGTGAGGCATTAACGTTTGGATGGTGGAGGAATCTTTTCCCCCTCTCAGCGATGACTTAAAGGGATATTCCGGCGTAAAATTAATTTAGAGTCAAACACACCATAACACCAAGTGAGACACCCCCCCCCTCAAGAGATGAATGTTGCCGACCGCTTGCTTCTCTAGTTATACCAACTTTAGTAACAACTGCAGGATGGCAATACACAGCAGTCTGAGGAGCCATAAACAAACCTCAATAAAAACGCCACTCTATAGCCACAAATAATGCTCAGAACAGCACCTAACTTCATCAACAGGACATAAAGGGTGCCAGTCATAGTACTAGCCACCAAACATCTTTTTAACTTTGCCTGATTTCTTTAGCAAAGAGACAAAACACTGTAAATCTGATTGTTATTAACGCAAAAACTGTCATCATAGCATTGGTCTCTACTGCTTTCTCCACCATCACGACATAAAAACCACACTGTGGCTCACACAGCAGAATTTTTATGTCATGTCCTGCCTACTAAGGCTCGTCTCTTGCTCCCACCCCAACGCCTTTTGTCTGACGGAGAGACTCTATAAGGGATGTGCGTAAACTTTAAGGGCAGAGCACCAGGAGGATTAAGACTGATGATTAGAAAAGCACATTTAACACATAAGTTGGCTAGCTGTGCAGAAGTGAGAACGAATTTAGTGATCTTGTCTTTGTTTTTTAGAGTCAGTCAGGAAATCTATTGTTAGTCACACGCACAAAATGATTCCAGAATCTCTAAGTGGTAAAAATCTCCTTCATTTCCCCAGAGAAAATGCAAAGATATCAAGATTTTTAAAGCAGTTTTTTCTCCTTTTACTGTCATATTTTATTCATCATATTGTGGCCCCTCAGATTTATCATGCAGCCCTCTGGGGAAGCCTGACCCTCAGGTTTGGGGCCTCTTGTCCATCTAAAAATGTAGGTTACACAGTCATTTAATGTCATTTCTCAATGATGAGCCATCTTGTCCAGAATAATACATAAACCTAAGTCGTCCTGAGCATCACTAAAAGCTCTTAAAACTGAACTCAGATGCAGGGAGGGAGAGAGCCAGGAGGGTAGAGATGTGGTGGGGAGGAAAATAAGAGGGTAAGGACGCCCTGTGACATTTATAAGAGATGTAGAGGTGAAGGAGGACAGGGAGAGCACAGGAGGATAAAAGACACAACACAGCGTTAGGAAGCAGAGGGGGTGTTCACCATAGAGATAAGAGAGAGGGCGATTCATAATGACGACCTGCAGAGAGAGAGAAGAAGGAGGTCTCGTGATCTCAGATTCTCCAGCCCTCTCATGTTATTCACAAACAGAGAGATCACAGGAGAAGGTGCTGGGTACTAATTTGGCTCATTATGATCAATGGACCCTAATGGTGGCTATTGTTCTCAGTAAGACCCACTAAGTCTCTGTTTTACTCTCTGAATCTCTCCATCATGCACACGTCTTCTCCTTAATGCACACTCTATTTCTGATTTTTATTCCAAGAAACATGAAGAAGCCTTTTTTTTGTTTGTTTTGCACCATTAACTGCTGAGACATTTTGTCCCAGAGTGAGCTCTGTGACTCAGATTTGGTCACATGACATCCCAGATAGCACTCGGAGCGAGAGATAACCTCTTGAAGGGGCCGGTTTCCTTTAAGCTTTAGTGAATGCACACAACCACGAAGATCAGAGGGACGGAGATTCACAAAAGGAGGACAAATATGGATATTATTGTTTGCATTGTTGCAGATTTTCAGGTTATGACTGTTGGGTCTGCAGGGATTAAAAGGTGCTTTATCCACCTATTACCCGGTGTATTCCTGATAAAATTTCACATATTGTATTCCCATCCCCCGTGTTGGAAAGCCAGCACCAGGATTAATGACTTTGTTTGGGCTCATATGGCAGTAATCCCTCTTATTTCTCAGATAGGTTAACCATTTCAAACCCAGATGGAGAACAGATTGTGTCCAAAAAAAGGTGTCCAATAAACACCCCACACATTGTAGACCTTGTCCAACTTCCTCTCCATTTTCCACCCATTTTCTTTTGTTTCACGCCCCGCTCCAAATCTCTCTCCTTCCTCCTCCACACCTGTTACAAGTCATTTTTCCCGGAACCTAACTTAAATAATGGCTGACTTTCCCGAGCTGACGGCCTGACCTGACATCTGGAAAAAAGAGCCTTCTCACTGTCAGCCCCCTTCCTCTGTGGATTTATAGTGGCACGCCATTTGACAGGCTGGAGCCTCTCATTAAGGTGAAGGGAGACTTGAACGAAGGAGACGGCTATGTGAATGTGTAATGTCACCTTTTAATTAGCTATGCAATTTGAACCTGGTTCTACCGAGAACCTGGTCCAGGGTTTTTTTAAATCCCCCAAATTAATGTTTCACGGTGTTGCCTCTACTGTAGAGTCTTGTGGATCGAAACGCATTATTTAAAGTCCCACTCCGATTGTTTTTTTCTTTTACTACTTCAAGTCTTCTCAGTGGTCTTTAAATTGTGATTATGAAGTTTTTAGCCAAAATCAAGTTACCTGTGTCATTTTCAAGAGCTTCTCTTCTGCAGAGCTCCAGAAGATCATTAGCAATTTGCCTCTGAGTCGTGGGCGGAGACAGCGCTGCTCCACACACTCGTCTTCATGCTAGCTTGCAGCCTAACATTGCTTGTGCAGCAGAAGAAGCAGGTAACATAGAAGCTATTCAGCTCTTGGACATTAATAAATAAATGAATGGCATGATGAGAGTTAATATCATAATTAACTTTCTTACGAGCACTGCAATCCGCTGATGCACACACTTGTTCCATGATCGTCCTCTCTATTTCTCCGAGTGTGACCTGCATAGCGGGGCTCTGGGGGCGGAGCTTGGATTTGCTACATAGGAAATCTCACTGAATCTGAACCTGCTGTTTGGGTCCGTTTTGAGTATAAATACTTAGAAATGCAATTTTGCACTTATTTTTCTCAAGATATGTTCCTTAGCATCAGAAAAATGCAATATGAACATATAAAAAAACAAGAAGATTTCCATCTCAGTGGGTCTTTAAATCAAATCACTGGTGCACAAACTTAGATTAATGAAGTTTTATGAAGTTTTTGACTAACTCCATAAAGAATAAATCAAGTCTGTTTCCTGCAAAGATGGTTGAATGTGCGAAGAGGTCCAAATTCTGGACGTCTTTGTTTTGTCTTATCTATCAGCTGGGATTTATGGTCCGTCTTTAAGGATGACACATGGATCCTTTTTCCTGCCAAAGAAGGCTGTCCATTGTTCGACTTCACGTGAAGGAAAAGTTAAAATAGCATGTAAAAACATTTGAAGCAGACTTGTGGGAACAATAAGGATGACGGTATAACACCCTCTGTCTGACAGAGCGCTTAACTCTCCAGATTGACTCTTCCAAAGAGATGGGAAAAAGAAACAACTCCAACATGTGTTTAGACGTATTCATACGCTGATAAGATGTGCTTTCTGTCTTTTTTATGATGTAGTGCAGAAGTAGAGGAAGGCCTGGCAGTCCTGCATCCTCCTTATATCTTATTACCTTCAGTTATTTACAGGAAAACCTCTTATTTCCTTTAAGCTGAGGAGAAAAACTAGAGCAGAAATATAAATATATCCGCACACACATACACAGACACATGATGACAGTGCTGGGTTGTTTTTGTGCTATAAATACTCCTCTGGCAGCAGAGCCTTTTCCCATTATAGACACGTGCAGCCCCTCCCCCTCATGCACCCCTCATACGGCACAAAAGCATAAAAGATATGAAAGGTCCTTCCTCGCAGAGCACATCATAAAGACAAACTGTGGTGTTGCCTTACACAGAGTCACGCTCTCTGCTTTTAAGTGTCATTTAACTTTTTTAATAGCTTGTTAATTTCAAAAACAAGCCGTTTAACTGTGACTGTGAAAATGTTATTACTTCAGAAGTGCATGTGAGATATTTGAGCTGCAACGACTCATGTTTTTATTTGAGCTTTAAAGCTTGTTGAAAATATTAATTTTTACAGATTCCCTCTATTTGAGTTTAATTGGTGTATTCAAGTTGGACTAATTACAACCAAGGTCACCCAGCATTCCCAATATGGGCTCTTCCAAAAACCAGTGGGTGTTGCCTCAAAGCCTACGGTCATTTCCACGTAGCCTTTGGTTGAATTTAATCTTTTAAACCACGGATAGTCACCAGAATTTCTCAAGAATCAGTCATACAAGATGTCTGAGCTTACAAAACACGCCATCCTGCGCCTGGACAACAAACACCCATGCATCATTTTAATGTTTTTCCAACACCTACAGGATGTGCAGTGCCGTCTGGAAAACAGAAACTCCTAATTGTAAAAATAGACTCAAATAACCAAAATGAAAGCTGCAAAAAGACACTGAAGACAGTCAGGAATGCTTAGTAAGGAAAACTCACTGTTTACTTCAGGGTGTCAGTAATGTTTTCATGCTTATTGTGTTGGAAAAAGAAGTATAAGTGGGTTGTGAATTGCTGGCATGCATCAACATCGTATTGCCATGGGCTCTTGGCATGTTTAACTCCCTCCAGCCATAAATAAGCACAATCTGAGCTCCTACATCCTTCCTGCCATCTGGTGTCTCCTGTTCACCCTGTAGTGGAGTAACCCCTCAAACTAAAACCAAACCTTTTCTCTCTCTGTCTCTTCCCAGGAGGTCCATGCAGGTGAACCAAGGACAAGGACAAGATCTGCATCTGCCTCATCTGTCTGTCGACGGACTAAGTGCCCTGGTGCCGGCCACCCTCGAGTCACCTCAACCACGACGGGCAACAAAGAAGCTCACCTCAACCAGGCTCCACAAAGCAAATATTTGAGGCCATTATATCTTATTTCTTCGGGGCGCCGTTTCTGAAAGATCAACAGCGAAGGGTGTTGTTGGGAGACAGAAAAAGAGAAGAAAAGGGGGGGAGGAAAAAGTAACCCTTTCAAAGTCCTCCCTGCTTGCTATTTCTGCTGCGCTGTGGGCAGGCAGCGTCTCATTTGGGAGTGATCTTGGCTGACAAAAAAAGGACTTCCCTGTGCCCTGCCTGCCGATTCAAATGCCTGCATAAATACTGGATAGAGATATCATTTTGTCTGGGCTCTAACACTGCCCAACAAAGAGACTCCAGGCTATCTATAGAAAACATTTACACCAAACTTTGACTGTGCGGTGTCCCAGCTCACCACCTATCTATTACTCTACCAGGAGTATTCAAGAGCTGTGAGAACGTGTTTGAGAGTTGGCAGTTTCAACTCTCTCTCTGGAAGTATATTTTGAATAGTAACAGGACCCAGAACTGTACCCTGGGGGACGCCAAAAACATAATTCACTCGTGGACTACAGTTCTGATGTCTAATCCAGCTCAGTGAATCAACATGAAGCCCCTCACTCCAATCGGATCCCCCTCTCCTCTCAGGCTTCTCAACAAGGGTCCAGACTACCTCCGCAGGCAGATCGATGGTGGAGGAAATGGGCGCTCAATCAGCGCCGTAGAGAGACTTGAGGCGGACAAAGCCAAGTATGTGAAGAGCCAACAGGTGATCAACACCAAACAGGAGCCTGTGCTGGTGCCCTGTGCTACCCCACCGCCGCAGCCCCGGAGAGCCTTCTCCACCACCGGGAGCATGACGCCGCATCTCCCTCCTCGCCGATCTTCAAACACTGCCTTCTCCACACTCTCTGGTTCCTTTACCTCAAGAGACGAGAATGAGAATGATGACTCAAGGAAGGAGAACAGACGGACTTCGGTTGACGTCGAGGCGCACAACAGGAGTAATGTGAAGCACGTGATGCCTCCCCACCCAAGGACTCCTGGGAAAAACATTTTGGTAGCACCGCACAGTGCTCCTGTTCTCAGACGAAGCACTGGTAAACGCATGCTGAGGCCGGACTCCCTCGTCATTTACAGGCAAAAGAAAGAGTGCAAGAGTCCCAGTGGGGCAACAGAGGGAGAAAACATTAACTCTGAAATCAAGGGTTATAGTTTCGTCCGCCGACTCTTCCAGGGCTCCATGAGGGAGAAGAGCAGCGGAGGTGAAGGAAAAATCCAAAAGATGGTGATCGGGGAAGAGAAAGCACCATCACGGGATGGGGAATCCCGCATGTCTTGGACCAACGAAAAAGACACCATAGATGGAGGACTAGGGAGCAGGAGGTCAAGTAAAACGGACCAAGAGCGCAGCCCGGGGTCCATCCCAAGCCCTGGGTTTAGCTGCCCTCATGAACTAACCAAGAGTGGAGTTACAAATGGTACCAGCAATGGAGACAACAATGGTATCACCAATGGCAACCATACAAGTAACCCTGATGATCAGAATGACCCTTGGAAGCGGGCGTCACCTCAACCAGCACGGAGACGGCGGTTTGGGGAGTTGCAGCGGTCCAAGTCAGATCTGCGTATTCGGGACTCAGCAGCACTATCAGAGCAGGAGCATTTCTTCGACTTCTGTGGGTTGGACATGGACATGATCGAGCGCCTGGGTCGAGAGAACTTCCTCTCCGGCGCCAGCTCCATAGACACCCTGTCGTTGGCGCTCCGCAGCGTAGGCGGGGATGGCTGCGGGGGCTCGGAGCCCAGCGAGTTCTCCCGCCACTCAGGAGACGGGTTGTTTCAGGAGGAGCTGGCTGATCAGATTCCTACCGGTGTGTCCATAATCGAGAGGAATGCTCGGGTCATAAAGTGGCTTTACGGGTGTAAGAACGCTGCGCGAGAGGGACCCAAAGAGTCCACTGTTTAGTACAGGCAGGAGGAAGCATGTGCTGTGGAGCCTGGAGGTTTCATTTTAAATAAACTGTTATCCAGCAGACGTAAACATCCTTATTTAAAGAGGATGAACCGACCAGTGAAATAACATGATGTTGCATTCAGATCTTAACCCTTTGTGCAGAAATTTGCTGCTCCTACACTGAATCATCACTGAATCCAGTGCAGGCTGTGATTGACTTGCAGCCTCGCATCACAGAAAAAAGATTGTTTTGATTATTTTCCTTCTTTTTATGCCACAAGCGTCAATTCAAGTCAAAGCAGCTAAGCGTCACAAAGCAGGATGTCAGATGTCGTAGCTGGGAATGACGTCGATTGGCGCTTGTTATTTTAAGTTATTTTAGCATCCCCTTTCGCAGATGTAGCCGTCTTGTTTCTGCCTCCGATTTTGCTATTTTCCGACTTGGTAACAGGGCGTCACATCATTCCCAGCTCTGACATCCGACTTCCGGGGTAACTCGAACGCAGCATAATCCCTGCACAAAGGGTTAATATTTCAAAGCACACGATAACCTTTGCTCCCATGTTTCCCTCTGACTCCAAAGAGACTATTTCTTTAAGTGAAAGAAGACCTGCTTCTAGTTTTATCTTGTCAAATTGATATATAGTATTTATAGATCCTATGGAAGTATTATATATGGGTGAAGACAGACCTGACAGGCGTTTTGATGTTTATTTGTGTGGCTGTGTTTGGAGCGGACATTGACGTCCTCTCTGTTTGTAGCTTTTTTTCAGTAATCGACTGAACTGGAATGAACACTGATCTGGAATCAGCCCCTGTGACCCCCCCCTCATAAGGCACATATGTGTATGTTTGTCACAATAGAGTCAACACACCAACATAATATTAACGAGTAAATTAAAATGGAAAACCACTAAGCTATGTTTTTTTTTTAAACTGGAAAACTGGTATGTGAGTGTGAAGTGAACCATGAGTACCTCATTCGGATCTGTCCCAGTTTAGTTTGTGTATTTTTTTTTTTCTTTTTTTTTACTCCTTAAACGCAGGCGTTGGAACAAACATGCGAGACGCCCCTGTGGGGTTGTTAATGCACTGAGCTGGATAGAAGCAGAGGAAATGAAAGATAGAGATAAAGCTTTAACTCTTTACAGAGACTCATCTCATTTAATATTAAACACTGAGCTGGATTCACCTTTTTACAGCTGAAGACACGGCATCGTGCCTGGCCAGTAATTTTCATCATTTTTATCTCATTTTCTAAACTCTGAAGAGTTGATTCTCTCCCAGTAAACACGGTCCAATAATCACTTGTGACACAGTTATTGATTAACAAAGCTAATGTTTACTGTGTGTTCAGTGCTTCTACTGCAGGGCCGCACACTGCAAAAACTCAGATCTTACTTTGAGTCGTTTTTCTTTCACAAGACGTAACAGAAGCCACATTCATAGGATAACCCAGATAAACATTTTAAAATATTATGAGCAGAATTTATGAACCAAATTACTTGTAGTAGGTAATATCTGCCAAATCAAAGCTCACTTGTAGAAATGTGAAGCTGTTGTGAGGAACTTTAAGCATGTGCATGAACCTTTGCAATAATTGTTTATCTTCTTTTTAAGTAAGATAAATTCCTATCTTGCTTTATTTTAGGGACCAACCATTACCCTTCAACCAGAGTTGTGGGAATGTCCAAAGAATTGGCAGATTTCAACTCTAAAACTTAGTGTGTTTGATTGTAACAGGACCTAGAACTGCTCCCTGAGGGACGCCAGAAACATCAGTTATTTGTGGACTGAAGTTTTAATGTCCACAGCAGTCAGTGTTTGAAACTGCTTCCAGGGAAGCAACTGTCAAAGTGACAATTAAGTAAAATAGCTTAACTTTAAATGACATTTGTTCGTGTTTATTTTAGTCTGTTACATATCCGGTTTACAACTTCTCACAGGAGCTTTAATGGGTACCACAAAAACAGGAACACACTGTAAACTGCCTCAGGTATGAAAGACTAGTCTGTTTAACAGGTTTTAACTGTGTTTCTACTCCAAGACTTTCATTTGGTTCAGCAACATACACAGAAAATGCTAATGTGTAGCTCTATCGGCATCATTAGTTTTTACCACCTTGGTACCTATCACTGTAGTAGTTCAGCTCAGCCTACATGCATGACACAAAAGCCATCTTGCACACAAACTTTTACATTAATTTTTTTGTGCATTTGAAGTATTAAATGAATGTGGCTCATGCTAAGTCTAGTTTTTGACTAGAAATAACACAAACACACTCACCGCAGTTTGAGTTTTTGCAGTGCGAAGCTGATAAGCAGGACAAGATTCTTATGGGAGCGCTTTTTGCAGCACATAAATAACACAATGAGACTTTCAATCTCACCAAAGAAGCTTCAAAAATGAGGGAAACTTCATTGAATAATATATAAAACTAAAAGTCGAGGTGTCCAAGTCGTCAAACTCTTGCTGTGTGATGCTTTAGGACGTCACTTTCACCATATGGCAGTTGACAGACGTTTAACCTTCCCAGCTGGCTCAGTCAGCCGGTTTTCCATCAAAACAAGCAGCCCTCCTCCTCCCTCCTCCTCCGTCTGATAACCACAGATCCTACCTCACTCCATCCATCCTTCAGTGATTCTCACTTTATCTCCATGAAAGGTCATTTCCACCGCTCGGCCTGGAGGATGCCACTGAAATATGAACTGGAGGTCTGCTGAGGTATGCAAAGGTTAAACTGAGAGGCGTTCAGGGCACGTTATATTTGTACATGTAATAAATTTACACAATTACCAACAGCTTTGAAACAAAAAAAATCTGTATTCATCATCAGCATGGCACCAGACACCCCTGAAAAGATTTATTTTGTTTTTTATGTCTCCAATAAACCATTTGGTTGCATGTTTACAAGAAGCTCCATGAAACTCAGAAACTCTTCTTTTATTTCAGACAAAGAAGAGAGATTTATCTTTTATTCCAAAGATGTTTGTGTATGATGTACACAGCAAATAAACATTGAAAGAAACTGTCTGCGTTGAGATTATTCATTTGTTGTCTCTCTCTTCTCTGTTTTATGAAGCTTTCCAAATCATTGCACATGTTATACAGCATAAAGAAGATATATTTTTCTGCAGAAATTAGGCAGAGAAGGCAACGCAGCTTCATTTTTAGGGCACATTTTATACAAAAAGGCAGTTTTACAAGCTTAACAGCGTAAATGAAACATAAAAGGGACAGACTTATGAGTGTGCAGCCTTTAGAGGGAAGGAGAGGCAGTAAAACATGAACATTTCATCAAAGATGGTCAAAGTTGTTGCTTGTGTTACATCAATAGGGAGAATATTAAGATGAATTATGAAAGAAAGTCCAGAAATTATTCAGGCTAATGAGATTGAATTATGAGAAACAGAGCAGTCAGTGTCAGAGCATACTGAGTGGGCAGTGACTGAGTTATTCGCTAATCTCCTCTGAGGTTAATGGTCCACTGATTGTGTTGTGAAGCCGTCCCGTCCTTGACTCTTCCTCACCTCCCTCCACCACATCACGTCTCATTTTTCACATTATCTCAAGTGGCCATGCGTTAATCCTTTTAGCATTCCCCTCGTGGCGCGCTCTTGAGAGAGTTGCAACAGGTTGCGTTTGCAGACGAGGAGGCCTCTATGTGGCCCTGATGCTTTGTCTACGTCCCTCCAGCCTGTCTGCTGACTCCTCCTGACACCCTTTGTCCTACCCCCACCTTAAGATCTGACTCAGCTTTTTTTTCCCCTCTAACACAGACAGATTAGTGGGGAAAAAAACTTTTAAATTAATGCTGAAAGTTTCCTCAAGCTTTGACCTTGAATCTTAGATGAAAACATCAGGCTGCAAATTTTCTTCAAGTAGTCCGTGACAGTATTTTGAGGCCCATTTCTAAAAAATGGGGATCCAGATGTAGGAATCTTAATTTTTATTATCAAGGATCAGATAACCTGATAGCTTTTGTCCTGTTCACCCAAACAAATTTGATAACCTTACCCAGATACAGACTTTTAAAATGACCAAATCCAGATTATTTAGGGTCTAAATGAGATGACACACAATTTACTTTGTCCACAGCCACTAAAACTAACCTTTACAACAGCTTTTGATTACGTTTTCAGTATTTTCACAAGCCACTTTTATCAAAAGTCTCCTGAATCAACATTATTATGAAAGTGTTTTTCTGTTCGATGTGTTTTAGTATTCATGACAGTGTGTTCCTGTAATCCAGCCTGAGCCTGTAGTCCAGGATCCCTCCTGAGAACGGCACACAGCTGTTTTACAACCAAAGTTGTCTCAATCCCACTTTATAGTTTGAACACAAACCAAGGTGTTATCCAGATTTAAAATAAAGTTGTTTAAATAAATATTTCTAAAAACTTTTATTTCAACAATCCATCAAGGATACTTTTAAAATCATCAAACTACTTGGTCAAAAATTCTGCCTTGAAAATTTCAGGTAAAACACTTATTTGACTGAGAATTAGGTCGACGAAAAGGCTGGCCCATGTATGAGATAAACTCAGTAAAGAAATAAGAAGTATCACGTTGTCCACAGGGGGCGCCACAATCAACACAAACAAAGTAATTTGTTAAAACCCCAGTGTTCAAATCTCACTCACATAAGTGTCACTAAGGAAAACCAACACAGTTGCAACTAAATCAGCAGAAAAGCCATCTGACATATTAACCTGTTGACACTGTGGCAAAATCAGTGATAAAAGTCCCTCTTACTCCATGATTGGTAATGCCGCCATGGCAACGGATTTCAATCAGTGTCATTGAGGGGCAAACTGCATGTTCCAGTCTTGACTCTAAAGACCAGCCGGAGATTGGTAGCTTGGTTATAAATAGGATGATGGTGAATCTGTAAATTGCTTAGCGTCCTGCTCACCCTGCCCAGTTTGCGAAAAAAAAAAAATTTGTAGGATAGTAGGGGAAGGTCCCGCCCACCTTCGCCTCTGATTGGCTAGAAGTGCTGGGCTCTGATTGGTTATTCCTTATGGCTGTGAAACGTCATCGTCTGTCGGGTTAGGGTTAGAGTTAGGATTAGGATTATTATTATGATTAGGGTTAGGGTTAGGGTTAGGATTATGATTAGGGTTAGGGTTAGGATTATGATTAGGGTTAGGGTTAGGGTTAAGGGTTAGGGTTAGGGTTAGGATTAATGTTAGTGTTAGTGTTAGTGTTAGTGTTAGGATTATGATTAGGGTTAGGGTTAGGGTTAGGATTATGATTAGGGTTAGGGTTAAGGGTTAGGGTTAGGGTTAGGATTAATGTTAGTGTTAGGATTATGATTAGGGTTAGGGTTAGGATTATGATTAGGGTTATGGTTAGGGTTAGGATTATGATTAGGGTTAGGGTTAGGGTTAAGGGTTAGGGTTAGGATTAATGTTAGTGTTAGTGTTAGGATTAGGGTTAGGGTTAGGATTATGATTAGGGTTAGGGTTAGGGTTAGGATTATGATTAGGGTTACGGTTAGGGTTAAGGTTAAGGGTTAGGGTTAGGATTAATGTTAGTGTTAGTGTTAGGATTATGATTAGGGTTAGGGTTAGGGTTAGGATTATGATTAGGGTTAGGGTTAGGGTTAGGGTTAGGATTAATGTTAGTGTTAGTGTTAGGATTATGATTAGGGTTAGGGTTAGGGTGAGGGTTAGGATTAGTGTTAGTGTTAGGATTATGATTAGGGTTAGGGTTAGGGTTAGGAGATTCAAAAGTGCAATAATGTTCTGTAATGTTCTGTTCGATGTACAGAGCCGACAGCCCGCGTTTGGCTTGAGTGTGTGATGATGTTTCAAGCTTTTCTAACCAATCAGAGGGGAAGGAGGCGGGACTTTCCCCTATCATTCTACAAAAAAAAAATATCGCGCCCAGTTCTCATGTACATTACTACCCGTTTACTTTATATTATCCCCTACAATGTCCATATTAACTAAACTACTTTAAGCACCAATAACAGAGTTTCATCATGTTTATTCTATCTGTGTAAAACTGTCATTGTTTTCCTCTTCGTAGATGAGAGTCGATGGACTTTGTCACCTGTTACCCTCCTCTCACTCTGTTTACCAAGAATCACTAACTTGGTTCCAGCTCGATGTTTTCAGCACAGACTCACAGATCTTCTTATTCGTCAGAAACAGAAAACACGTTCCCTCCCCAACATGTCAAACTAGTCCTCTAAAACATCCACACACAGATGGCAATTAGACAATGTCTGAGCTGTCTGGCTACAAGTTGCTCCATTATTCACTGTTCATGGAGCAGCTCCAGGGTTTGTCTGAAAATGACTTCATCTGCTGTTTGACTTCAGTAAAAACTTTAATTAACAAAAGGAAAAATTCGCTGATTTCTATTTTTGGAGAGAGGACTTTCCCTCTGAGGATGGCGTTTAAGGATGCATTTATTCCCTGGGCACTTTTATGCAGACTGAACAAAAATTCACAAACAAAATGAATTTCTGTATCCCCTTCACGCTTCTTTTTCCTTCTCTCTGTCTTTCCCAAATCAGAGCGAAACAATAGGCCTCCTGTGAGTCTGAGTCTCTGTGAGTTACTCTGACCGGAGGGCCTGCTGTGACATCCTGTTTTGGGTTCACAGGACAAGGTTTAGACATATGGTCATGTTTTGGGTTCTACTTTTCTTTCCCGGCCTGCCTTGAGGTAAACAGACAACAGCTGGCACAGGTCTTGATATTACGGTGATAACAGAAGTCGAGATCAGACTGATATCAAGTTTTTAGGATCAATTCAAGAGTACATGTGTGAGGGAGTTTTTGCTAAAAGTGCTTAGTAGTTTAAAAAGTAGAGGGTGAACTGGCACTGATCCACCACTCCAGGCTTTGATGCTGCTGATGTGGTTTTTTTCACTCACATTAAGAAACACCACAGGGGGGCTGAAGACCTCCCGCTTTACACTTCTCCCTACGAGCAAGTCCCGTCAAGCGTTTTCTGACCCAATTAAAGCGCGATAAACTGATTTAGAGTTTAAAACGAATCCCTAAATTGTCAGAAAACTGTTTAAAAACCCCACAAACACATTCAATTTCACTGTTTACAGTTCAAACAAGCAGCTGTGGGTTTACTTTGTTCACAGGAGGCTTGCTTTAAAGCCCTCACAGCCATAAAAGCAGAACAGGCTCTTTTCTAGGGCAACAAATGAAAATCTGATTCCCTTTTTTGCCTCAAGTTTTCAACTCACTGCGGTCTCTAATGCTCCTCGCAGCCATCACGATCTTATCAGGCAGGCACAACATGAGCTTCTTTTTTCAGATAAAAACCTCCAGCTGTGGTACAACAAGTCAGGTCAGATACTAACATTACATGTCCGAGTGGCCTGAAACTGTGGCGCATTCGTAGACGGGATTTTTGCTTTTTTGTGCTGAGATGCAATAATGTGTGTCAGGGTTAGCATGGGTTGTGAAGTGTGTAAAATCTGGCCTAGTTCTTCTGCGCCAGCAGCGCCAGCAGCTCCGGCAGACCGTCTACGCTTGAGAGACGCTCAGTTCATGACTCAGGGACAGAGAGGCTCAACATGCACAAAACTGGCACTGAGGTCTGTATGATCTGCTGGGGAATTATAGCAGTTGTGAGCAGAATTGGCAGCTGTTACCAAGGTAGAGTCCGATCAGTCATGAGCCAGATACATGATACTCATTTTCAGCCTTTAATTTCTTCATCTGATAGCTGCTAGACTTTATTTGACGCCTATCTCTATAACACATTATAAATATATGTATAATGCGTTATAATCCCATCATAGCACAGTGTAACTATAGTTCTAAACACTCATAAATGATCATAATGATTTATAGCAGCAACCATAACACATAGTGTTTATAACTATAGTATTACAGTGCTAAAACATGATTATAACACATTATACATATATTTATGATGCGTTATAGAGATAGTTGTCAAATAAAGTGTTACCCAAAAAGTCCTTATTTATCTCAGATTAGAGAAAATCCAAAAGGTTTCATTACAGCAACAGCTGTCGCATTACCCTGTAC